TCTAGCTGTGGCCGGTTGCTGGATTTCCTGGGGCCAGGGTCCTTCGCCGGCTAACCGCGGAGGTTGCCTAGGGGTCGCTCGAAGGTCTGGGTTTCCTAGAACTACTCACGGGTCCATTTGAAGTAGAAACAAAGACTAAACTGGTAGAAAATGCTGTTTTCCTCCTTGCTGTGGCTGGGAGGCGTGATAAGAATTAAGGATTGCTGTTTGGACCCAATTTCTAAGAACCAATCTTCAAAAATACTTAGATTTTAGAGGAAGTTTCTGGTGTTGCTAAAACGAATCTGTATGTCTCGGTACACAACATTGATGTGAGCTATTATGAACTTGTCCCTGTTTTATCCAGTAGAGTCCTAGGATGAAAGAAAAGCCCAAAACTGTTAAAAACAGGAAAAGAAAACTCCAAATTGAAGTTAATGATAAATGGTGTGCAAAATGTGACATTTTCATTAAGCCAGTTCGTTTTTACAAATTTTACATAAAGTTTACATTAGGTTTTGTTTGCAAGAATTTATGGACTGATAGCTAAGAATGATAACTAAGTCAGATCCAGTAGTAAATTTTACAGACTATTCATAGGGAAATAATTGCAAAAGAAAATTTAAAAATATTAAGTGTTTTTGGTGGAGAACTGTTTATGTTTAATAGGGGATATAGATGCTTTTTTTATGTTTCATGTAATATGAGAAGGGCCTACAGAAATAAAAGTGAACGGAGCATAGAGAGATGTCCTGAGTGTTGGTCGTTAGTTAAAAGGAGAGGAAAACCATGACCAGACCAGAACTATAATAAGCCATTATTATGGGGAGGACCTGCCAAGCTGTCTCGGAACAAAGGGGAGTAAGCAACATGGCAGGACAGGGAGCTTCTTTCATAGAAGCGGGGTGGGGTTAGCCTGAGCTGGGGTGGAGTTGAGTGAGGTAGTATTAAGGGATTGCAGGAGCCTGTGACATCCCTAGGAGGTAGCAAGTATCATGTTACCTTTCTTGGTGGAAGAGAGGCATGTTGGGAAGGAGAAGCCCATCCTTGGATGGAAGAAGGCATATTTTAACATGGAAGCTGCTATTCCATGTGGCAGGCATTTTAAGCCAAGGGAAATCTAACATTGGTGCTTATTGGTATTGTGTGTATCAGTAGTTAAGATTGATATACACATATTAGAATATTGTATTTTAGCTGAGTATTAAAAGCCTAGTTGATTTTTAAAAAAGCACTTCTATGATACCTCTTACCTAAGAGAACAGATTTTTTTGCCTTTCTCTGGTCTCCCTTTTCCTTCTCTTTGGCCTCTACATAGTCTCAGTTATAAAAGACCTCAGTGGCTGCTTTGACCAAGGATTCTTTTCTGTTTTTGAGACAGGGTATTACTTTGAAGTTCAGGCTGGCCTTGAATTCACTGGCCTTGAATGTAGCCTAGGCTCGCCTCAAACTCACAGCAAGTCTCCTGCCTCAGCCTCCTGAGTGCTGGGATTACATACATGTGCCATCCCAGCAATTTGTCCAAGAATTCTAAAGAGCTAATAGGGCCAAATCAATTATTCTGCAATGTTTTCCTTATGTCTGGGGAAGATTAGGTTACAGATTTATCTTTAAGAATTATCTGTCTTTTAGAGTGGGCATGGTGGCACACATCTGTAATCCCATAAGGCAGGAGAATCCCTGTGAGTTTGAGGTCAGTCTGGGATATACAGTGAGTCCCTGTCTGAAAAAAAGAAAAAAAAATTACATATATATATATATATATATATGTACAAAATCTGTCTGGAGATAAAAGGGTAAATTTAGCTTAGCTGGAATCAATGGTTTATCCTTAGTAAGAAATACAGAGAGACAAAAAAAAAAAAAAAAAAAAAAAAATTAAATATATATATATATATATATATGTACAAAATCTGTCTGGAGATAAAAGGGTAAATTTAGCTTAGCTGGAATCAATGGTTTATCCTTCCAGGATACAGGTTTGGAAATGTATATGTGATGCCCTGTCCTCACATCAGGATCCCTATTGGTCCCCCCCACTTGGGGCAGCCTGGCTCTGTATGTGAAATGTGTTTTCCTCTGGCTGTAGTTTCTCAGGCCTTCTACAACTAATCACATGCAATTCATCTCCAAAGACCTCTTGATGCATGTTAATGATATAGAACCTCCAAATGATGTAGAGGAAATATGACTCCCAACCTGCTAGGTATCAAACATGCTGAGCTTTTGTTCCCCAAAATCAAAGAATGAATTCTAAGGAACGACGGAGGTTAAAAGTAGAAATTATTTATTGAGGGAGACAATCTTGAGAGTCAGGATGAGACCCAAGTAGGTTTCCAACAAACCCACTTTACAGAGCAAGTTTTATGGAGCAAAATTAAGAGGTGGGTACAAAATCATGAGGTGAATACAAAATGGGACAAAACTGATCAAACAATAACATTTTAAGTATACCCACTTAGGTAATACTGATCTAGTGGGGAAGCAAATCATGTAGCAAATGTACATGGAAAGAACAAGGACTTTTTGGAAAAAATGAGTTAGTAGTTCCTGGTCACCCACTAAAGTGACTAATGCCTATCTAGACTTTATTGGACTAGGTAATACCAATTACAGTGAGCTGGAAAAATGATTTCTGAGCAAAAAGTTTTTCCTGTGGTCACCTGACCTGACAAAGAACTACTCTCAGCTCATACCCCCTCCCACACCTAACACATGTCTGAGGCTTCCCAAGGCATCTCCTTCTTCATTGTTTTTTTCTCCATTACTGTAGATCATCCTCAAGATGATGTAACCTCTACTTTTCCACTGTGTATAAATGAGGTACATTCCAGCCTTCTTTTCTATACAATCATGTAAACAAAATGTAACTTCCTCACCCAATGAACTGATGTAAAGTGCCTTGCTTCTGTATTCCGAGCCCTCTTCCCTGGATCCATGTAAACCCTGTTCACTTCCTACTCTGGGCTGATCACTTTGTGGAGAAAACCCCTCCTACTATAGACAGCCAAGACTGCTGGGTTGCTGAAGCATTGCCTAGGGGCTGACCAGACTGAAATCATAACACAGTGGGAGGACTAGAAGCGTAAAACTGGTATCGGAATGCTCTCCTAGCAGTTTTTAAAAAGGTTGGAAAAAGGCCTATAAACATGTCAAAGGTAACAGCTATCGTCCAAAAATCAGACGAAGGCCCAGCTGAATTCTATGAGAGTTTATGTAAAGCTTACCAAGTCTACATACACTATAACCCTGAAGCCCCTGAACATCAGCAAATGATTTAACACAGCCTTCATTGCTTAGTCAACTGATGATATTCAAAGAAATATCCAAAAGGCTGAGGATTTTTTAGGCATGATACAACTCAGTTAATTTAGGTTGCCCAAAAGGTTTTTGTAAACAGAGAAAGGAAGAAAAAAGAAAACGACTCAAGGCTGACCACTGAGATCGTCAAAAGGCCTCTGTCCTTACAGCAATTTTAGAAAAGGTTCTTTTGAGGTACAAAACATCAGAAAGCCCTACCCCAATCAAAGGCATCTCAGAGACCCTACCAACAAAGTAATAACACTGGAAGAACATTCTCTCTGGACCCCAATCATCGATGTACCTACTGTAAACAGCATGGGTACTGGAAAGACAAGTACCCATTTTTCCACAGAATAAAAAGGACACAAACTAGCCCAACTTGAACCTCTTTTTGCCTTGTCCAACCTGGACAACTAGGTCAAACCAGGCTCTATTCAGCTGGGCCCCTGAGAGCCCATGGTCACAGCAAAAATAGGGGGCAAACTTCTGACTTTTATGGTGGACAGTGAGGCAGAACATTCAGTTGTAACTCAGTTTGTTGTACCTCTGGGACCTTGACAGGTCCAAATGGTTGGAACTTCTGGAGTTCCATCAGGAAGAAAACTTATGCCTAAGCCAGTCTTGTGAAATTTGGGAACATTTAGTCAAACATGAATTCCTCTACGTGCTTGAATGTCCCATCCCTCTCGGATGTAATCTTTCTAACCTGGGGGCAACAATTTCCTTCACTCCAAAGCAGCTGGCTACACTCAGGCTTGGATCTGCAGCCTTGGCCCCAGACCTAATTTTGACTCTGTGCCCCAAGAAGAATAATGTTGCTTCCATGAGGCAAAATTATAGGACAGCCAAAGCCCTGAAATTGTAAAGACACTTTTCCCAGAAGTCTGGGTCAAAAACAACTCTCTAGGACTTGCAAAAAATCATGCCCCTCTTATAACTGAGCTCTGCCCAACAGCAATTCCTATCACTGCCAAATCCTATGTCCTGGGAGGCCTGTATTAGTATTCAACCACACATCTCCCACCTGAAACAGGATAGACTGTCAATTGCCTTGGAACACTCCCTTCCTTCCAGCAAGGAAGCCTGACAGGGATTACCTATCGATGCAAGACTTCTGTGCCATCAACTCTGCCACCATGACTCTGCACTCGGTCCTTCCCAACCCTTACACCCTCCTGAGTTTCCTTCCTTCTGATGTTGCCTGGTTTACCTGTCTGGACCTAAAAAATGCCTTCTTCTGTCTGTGAGTAGCTCCTCAGATAGCTCATTTTTGCCTTTCAATGGAAAAATCCAGAGACTGGACAAAAAGGCCAACTTACCTGGACCTGCCTTCCACAAGGTTTCAGGAGCTCCCCCACACTCTTTGGAGAAGTAGTAGTCACTGATCTGGCCAAATTTCCATTTCAATTTCACCTTGCTTCAGAATGAAGATGACCTGCTAATTTGCAGCTCGAATAAATCAGACTGCTGGAAAGGGACACAGGCTCTCCTCTACCACCTACTGGTCACTGGCTAAGGTCTCCTGGAAAAAGTTCCAAATATGTAAATCCAAAGTATACTACTTAGGTTTTGTGTGTGAGTGTGAGTGTGTGTGTGTATATTTTATATAGGTAAAATATATACATATTTTATATATGTATATATACATATGTGGGGGTAGGAAAAAGACAAGGAGGGTCATATAAACCTAAACAGTCATCACATTGCCCCAGCTGAGCCTGATGTTAACAAAAAGATAATAAATAACTCCTGGTAGAGTCCAGGCTTCTGCACTTGCCAGACAAGTAAGCTGATGATACTCAAAGAAAAAAAAAAAAAATTCAAGCAGAGCTCCATACCACACTTTTTTTTTTTCAAGTCAACTCGCTGGTAGGCAGAGTTTTCCAACCATTGGGAAACTTTGGCTCCAAGGCAAATGAAAGAAAAAAGAAATTTTCCACTTAAAACATGAAAATACAGAAACTTCATCAAAGAAAGAAAAATATCAAGTCTACTTCCAGCAAAACTGAGGTAGCAGTGCTTTCTCTGCATTTAATACTTAAGTAGTTCTCAGTACAATGTGTTCTAAAAAAAAAAAAAACAAAATCGCTCACTTGATTGACAGGTGCAACATATTGATGGATAAACTCAACATGAAATGCAATAGATCAAAGAAGGAATGAGCAAGAAGTGAGGAAAATAAGGGTTTGGATAAATTTGCTTAAAAGGGGATGTCACCAGACCATAAATGCTCTTGACTGGCCTTGGTTCTCCAAGAGCTCCAAATCATCTGGGAATTAGTGCCATGTGGTTAACAGTTAACACCACTCCTCAAATCTGTGTCAATCTTTAAAAATAATTATTACAACCTAAATTCAACCATGTAAACAGCACTACACTCAGTTAAGACCTGCTCTGAAAAGCAATATGCAAAACTGAGATCTGACACCATACCATTTTGCAATGTTAAGTCAACCTAACAGTCCTCTCCCCACCCGGCTCTACATCCTCCCACCACAAAAACCAAAACCAAAACCAAAGTAATCTAATTTGTGCAAGAAATGGCAGGCTTATTCTAGCAGAAGACAAAAAAAAAAAAAAAAAAAAGCATGACGTAGCCAGGTTCCAATATTTTGAGGGCTATCCCCCAAAGAAATAACCAAAAAATGAAGAAAGTGCCTAAACCATGATACTGCATTTTAGAGCCCTTTCAGGTACAAGGCAGAGAAAGGCGTGAAGCAGAAAATATCCAGCTCTTCAGTAATTTCCACGAAGGTCCAACTCCTTGCTTGGCTTGCAGAGCAGTGGGAAGATCCTTGCTGCTACTCCTGAGACAGAGCCACTAAGTTTGCCTCTTGGGACACAAGCCCTCAGGCCCTAAGCTGAGTGTACCTCTCCATTACCCTTCTCTTTTCCTTGTTCCATTTCCCACTCCACAAAGGTATCAGAGACTTGGCCAGGCCTCATATTCACTGTAGTTGTTGAAATCAGGGCCAATCACCTGAGTGAAGTTAAGGAACTTGTTCCAAGTGTCCTGGGAGATGCCCTTGATCCCCGAGTGGTTCTCTGTTAAGAAGTTTAGCCACTAGTCCAACATGGGAGGATTGTTCTGGGTGAAGACTAGTCTCCACAGGGCAATGGATATTTCTTGATGCAGTGACCACCGCCCTTCTTCAGAGTCCAGGCCAAACTGAAATTAAACCGGTAGAGATCCTTGAATTTATCCGCTTGTTTGACTTCAGTCAGGAAGCTGGGGAACCATGCACAGATCCTGTCAATGCTGTCTGCACTTTATTGCTTTGCAGCCGTAGAAAAACTCCTTGTGAATTTACACATGGCAACAGCCTGGAACTTCCAACCCAAGAGCAGCACTCGAAATTCCATGGGATCGACATAGGTCATTGCAAAAGCGCTCCATGCCGTCCTCCAAAATTGCATCCTCCCACTCATCCTTATAGCATCTGAACAGTTCCTCCAACCTCTGCAAGGAAGACTCCTCAGAATTGGACTTTGACTCCCTCCCAGAGTCTCCCGAGGATGTCAGCAGCTGGCAGGCCTCACTAGCAGCCTCTGCTTTCTTGGTCCCATTGACAAGAATATCTCCACCTGGCTTGGCACAGGGTGGCAGCTATTCCTCATGGTGGCCTGCCCCTCACCTAGTGTGTGACTTGCTGCTAGGGTTCCAGTCTCCATTGTTGTTGCCCAGGGTCGATGGGGGATTCTTGCACTTGGTGATGCACTGGGCCTGGCTTCTAGAGTGACCCTCTCTGGGTCAGATGCCCTCGCTGACACTGGCCCATGGGCCTCAACATGCCATCAGCCAGAGGAGCCAGCCAACCATCCCTGCTCGCATTTCTAGGCTACCTACCCCCTCTTGTCATCTCCTCTTCTTCCACCACTGCCACCGCCTCCTCTTCATCTGTGGCCCACCAGCAGCCATTACTTAGGTTTTGATCTAGAGAAAGGACTAAAAAATCTGGGACAAGAAAGAAAAGAACTGATATGTTTTATTCCCAGACCCAATAATAAGAGAATGAAGAGAATTCCTGGGAGATGCAGGGTTCTGCCAGATATGGATACCTAGATTTTCTGAAAAGGCAAGCCCCTATATGACATGCTAGCAGGAGATAAAGAGGAGAAAAAGACATTACACAGGACTCAGGATGAAACCAAGTCCTTCCAAACTATAAAATAGGCACTGTCACAGTTCTGGCCCTGAGCATTCCTGATGGGACCAGACCTTTTAACCTGTTCATTGATGAAGGAAGACATGTAGCATCAGGGGTTCTGACCCAAAAGATTGGCCCTTGGGAGAGGCTCATTGCATATTTGTCAAAGAACTTAGACTCTGTAGCCAAGGGCTGGCCTCCCTGCCTGAGGGCACTGGCAACAGCCATCCTCCTGATTAAAGAGGCAGACAATTAACCCTAGGTCAAAACCTGACAGTTCAAGTGCCATATTCTGTTCTGCAGCTACTCAAAGGCCAGGACATCATTGGCTCTTGAATAGCTGTGTCACACAGTATCAAGGACTACTTTGTAAAAAGCCCTGACTCACTTTCCAGTCAATTAAACCACTAAACCCAGCTACTTTCTTTGCCCACTGAGCCTGGCCCTCCAGATCACTACTGCCTAGTCTTGACTGATGAGCTCTTTGCCAGTTGACTAGAGCTATGGCTAAAACCCTTGACTGATATTCAGTACACCCTGTTCACGAATGAAAGTAGCTCAGTCAAAGATGGAAAACATCAGGCTGGATATGCTGTTGTTACCATGAAAGAGGTGCTGCTAGCTGGGCCTCTTCCCCAAAATTGGCTGCTCAGCAAGCGGAATTATGGGCCCTGATACAAGTTCTAAACTGGGCAAAAAGAAAGAAAATAAGCATTTACTCTGACTCAAGGTATGTTTTCAGCACTGTTCATGTCCACAGAATGCTGTACAAGGTACGAGGACTTCTCATGGTGAAAGGAAAACAAATTAAAAACAAGGATGAAATCTCTCAACTCTTGACTGCAGTTTAAAAGCCTAAAAAGGTTGTCATAAGAGACATCAAAAAAATAAAGATATTGCCCTTGGAAACCACATAGCAAATAAAGCTGCAAAGCTAACTACTGAAAGCTCCATCTGGAAAACCAATGGTCTAATCAATGATTTTAAAAGGAAACCTAGCCAGGGATTTAGCTCAGTGATTCCACCATCTGTCTCACAAGCACAAGATCCCAAGTTCGATACCCAGTACCAAAAAAAAAAAAAAAAAGCAACCTAGAAGCTCTACACAAGATTCCTCCTGACACAGGCCTTACCCTTCAGGGTTACACCAAAGAAAACAAATGGTCACATCAAGAAGCGGCCCACCTAGGGCCTGGGGGTCATGAATCCTGCCAGCCAATTATCATCCTGGGGAAACTTTCCCATCCATGGGTGAAATGGCACCATGACTTCACCCATGGAGGAAAAACTGTAATAAATCAACTTTTGAGCTGATATTTATATACGCAAGATGGCCTTGATTTGTGTGTAAGTCAGCCAGCAATGCCAGACTTGTGCCAAAGTTGAACCAACCCAGAGGCACCAACACCCATCAGGCATCCAGCATAGTGGACACTCCCCTTTTGAAGACATACAAATAGATTTCACTGAAGTAAAGTCCTATAGGGGCTACAAATATCTCATGGTGCTTGTCTGCACATACTCAGGGTGGCCAGAAGCATTTCCCACTAGACAGAAAAGGCAATTGAAGTCTACAAGGCCTTGATAAGAGAAACTGTCCCCAGATACAGACTGCCTCTGTTCATAGGCAGTGACATATGGCCTGCATTTGTGGCAGAAATAACTCAGAAATTGGCAGAGACATTAAAAATCAAGTGAAATGTGCACACCATACAGGCCTCAAAGCTCTGCAAGATCAAAAGAATGAGTAGAATCCTGAAGTAAACTTTGACCAAGTATCTTCAAGAAACTTGAATGCCATAGGTAGATTCACTCCCTATGGCTTTCCTCAAGGTCCAAAGCTCACCAGAACCCACTGGTTATACATTTTGAGGTTTTATTTGGGTGGCCACCACCATAATAAGAGGTTTCTAGGGAGACCATCAATTGTGTAACCTATTCTAACAGGAACAACTCATACCATTATAGGAAAGACATTCTCTCAGCTACGCAAAAATTTAGCTGAGACTTGCCATACTCACAAATACACCTACACACACACACACAATCTTGAGGATATGGTATGGGTAGAAGACTGGAAATGGGAACCTTTACAGCCATTTAGAAAGGGCCTTATATGATCCTATGAACAACTCTCACACCCATTAAAGTTTCAGAAATTTCAGCCGGATTTCATCAGTTTCAGGTCAAAAGAGCTCACCCAGATGACTGCTGGAAGACCTACTAAGTACAAAAAGAGGAGGGAATGAGCTGGAAAAATGATTTCTGAGCAGTTTTTCCTGTGGCTAGCTGACCTAACTGACAAAGTATCACTCCCAGCTCATATCCCCTCCCACTCCTAAAACATGTCTGAGCCTTGCCGGGGCATGTCCTCTCCATTGTCTTTTGTTCTCAGTAAGTGTCTGTATCTACCAGATGATGTAATCTTTACTTTCCCACTGTGTGCAAATGAGGTAAATTCCAGCATACTTTTCTATCCAGTCATGTAAACAAAATGTAACTTCCTCAGCCAATGAATTGATGTAAAGTGCTTTGCTTCTGTGTCCCTAACCCCTCTTCCCTTGATCCATATAAACCCTGTTTGCTTCCAGCTCTGGGCCTATCACTTTGTGGAGAAATCCCTGATCAGCCAGCCCACAAGTATAATAAAGCTGTACACTTGCCTCCAACCTCCGGGTGCATTCTTGATTCTTTTTGGTCTTATCCTGCCTGCTAAACCACTAAGAGCTATAACACTGGACTGCAAGTTTGCCATTGCAATAGTATATTGTTTATCTCTCAGGGAGGTATGTAGGCCTAGTCAAATTTATATTGATGCCTGGCCTTCAACAAATGCAGCTCCTCTAGCCTCCATTGTAATGTGTTCCTCTGCACTGACTTCTTTGAGCCTAGCCCTCTCTGATTGCCTATGACATCTCTACCTAACTTAGTTGTCTATAATGTTAAGACCACTTACTTTTCATTAGGGATTGATGTTTGATTTAAAAGGAGCATAATATCTTTTTATATTGTATTGAAAGATTGAGCTAAACTTTAGAATTTTCTCTCTATATATCTATCAGGATCAGAGAACCTTCCTAAATCCTGTTCTTTCTTAAATATGTCAAGGAAAAGGGCACACAGACTGGAGAATACCATATTGTTCCAACTCACCTCCTGAAGAGGGTATAGACCTTTTTGTAGAGTCTCTTTTGGCCTGGGTGGAATCTTAGATCCAAGCAGTGGACTAGAAGTTTTAAATGGAGTTGCCTGAATCTCATCAGGATCTTGTGGACTCACAAGTGACCTGGGCTCTAGCCTTCATCGCTGGAGCAGCTTGGGATTGTCCCTGAAAGCCAAAACTGTATGGACATAGGGAACTTCTGACCATTTATTTCCCCCCTCTCACAAAACTGATCTAATGAGTTCCAGTGAGTTTCAAAGACATGTGGGAAACCATGGAGTTCATGTTTCCCACTCTGAAAACCAAGCAGAGAAAGGTGCTTTTCTTTCATCGCCTGTTTCAACCAGTAGCATGGAGTATCCCCAGCTCTGATCTCACCTCTTCATGGCTAGTAGCAGCTGCTGGAATTGCCCAAAGGAAGTGCTAGGGCCAGAACACTACTCTTACTGATGCAGACACAAGTGTTTCCTCATAGTCCTTTGGTTTATACTACACAACTGAAATGGGACTTCCAGCCCTCATTTAGAGTTTGTCAGCCTGCAACATGTTCCAGAGAGGAATCATGGTCAGAGAGAAGCAGATCTCGGCTCCTTCAATGTCCATTCTGACTAAAGATACCACCACCTGTGCAGATCTCTAAAAAGCTGTATTCACATCTGCTCACATAATCATCTATGCTCTTGTGACCCTACTTTAAGAATCTAGCAGTTCAGCTTCCCTGGGGCTGTATTCCTGAAGGGGAGGGTGGCAGGCTGATGAAGAAATTTCCTAGTTTTCAGCCCTACCCTGAGGGGCATGAAAAACAAATTGGGTTTTAAACCTTTTCAAGGTGGGTCTGTCTTCAGTGAAAACGTGCCTCCAAAGGAAAGAAAAGGAGGAAAAAAAAGTGATAGGAAGAAGTTAGAGTTAAGGAAGAAGTAAGAGGGTTTTTTTGCCCTCAGGTGCTTGGGATGAGTTAATGGAGCAATTTCCCCAATGGCCAACATTCTCGGTCTTTAAAATACTAGAATTGGAACCTCAAGAGCTAAAATTGCCCCCTTACTGGAGGATCCGACCAGAAAGGAAACAGACAGAACAGCCTTGACATTCCCTTCAGTGAATGTGGAAAGGACATCAGGACAGACTGCCCCAGTGAAACCTGTACTTGTATACTTGAGAACAGTTGTCATGCCTGTTACCTTTACATGGCCAAGGAAGTCCTGTGTTTTCATATGAGGCATATTCTCCCAGTCTACTCTACCCAGGAAAATGACAGTCAAGACATAAGGCTATAAGGCTGTCCTATAAAATAAGAGCACAAATCTCTATCTCCTGAATGGAATCATAGTTAACACAAATACATTGCAGAAAGAAAAGGACAACAATAACGCCCCGTTTGAAGCTTACCTCCTGTTAATCTCATATCCCAGATGGGCTCCTAAATAATACCATGTGTACTGGTCTTGTGGTTCATCAAACACGGAGGAATAAAGTTGCAAACCAAAAGAGAAGGTTAGGAGAGTTTTTATTGGAAATGAGGGGTCCTGCAGTGGCCCCATTAATTCAAATTTAGCCTATTTATATTTGTTGGAAGGTTCTAAGTAAAAGAACTAGAAGTCTCTTCCCCAGGCCATATGTGTATATGTGCCATATTTGTTTTTCTGTATAACACACAGAAAATTACTGGTGAAAAATACAAATACAGTTTCATCCCATAGTATATATTTTACTTGAACCTTTTAGTGTCCTCAATATAGAAAGTTAAACATTAATGAATGAGATAGAGAACTGGAGCTAGTCTTTAGTACTCCATAGTATGCTAACATCAGCATACAATAGTTCTTTAGTTAACTGGAAAATTTGGGTGCTTTTATTTATTTTTAACAGTGTCAGAACTGTATTATATTTTCTTAGATTTCCTCTTACTCGACCCAGTCTTTGTAAACAATGGGAAGCAGCTGTCAGAAGAAAAAACTTTAAGCCCACCAAGTACAGCAGCATTTGTTCAGAGCACTTTACTCCAGACTGCTTTAAGAGGGAATGCAACAACAAGTTACTGAAAGAGAATGCTGTACCCACCATATTTCTTTGCACTGAGCCACATGACAAGGTAGTGTATGTTTTTAACTGCTTTCTGTTTATAAAATTAATGTGTTTGTTGTAGAAAATTTGGAAATCTCAGGTAAAGGGTAAGAAAACAAGAGCATCTGGAACCCATCACTTGTAAATAACCACTTTTAACAGTGTTTTGTTTTGTTTTTTTTCTGGTACTGGGGATTGAACTGATCTACTACTGGCCTACATCCCTGACCCTATTTGTTTATTTATTTATTTAGACAGGGTCTTGCTGTGTTGCCCAGACTAGCCTCAAATTTATAATCCTCCATCCTCAGTGGCCTGAGTAGCTGGGATTACTGGCATGTACCCACGGTACCCAGCAACAGTGATACATGTTTTTAAATTGCAAAGTGTAGTTTATTAAATATACTCATGCTAAGAAAGTCAGATTTATTTTTGTATTTTGTTTAAAGAGCACTCTGTATTCCTGCTTGTATATTGACAAGTTTACTTTTTCTTTTCCCAATGACAGTTTAATTTCAAATTATTTTTTCTCTTCCATTTTAAGTGCTTAATTGTTTAATTCAATAAAATTATTTAACTATTTTCTTGTGTTGGAATGTTCCTAATATTTCTGATATTCCACAAGATTCTTTCAAACTGTTGTTTAGTTAATAAATTTTCTGTATATGCTCTGTATTACTGTTTTAGAAAGAAGATCTTCTGGAGCCACAAGAACAGCTTCCACCGCCTCCTTTAACACCTCCCATTTCCCAGGTTGATGCTGCCATCGGATTACTGATGCCGCCTCTTCAGACCCCTGATAATCTCTCAGTTTTCTGTGACCACAACTACACTGTGGAGGATACGATGCACCAGCGAAAAAGAATTCATCAACTGGAACAACAGGTTGAAAAGCTTAGGAAGAAGCTCAAGACTGCACAGCAGCGATGCAGAAGACAGGAGCGACAGCTTGAGAAATTAAAAGAGGCAGTGCACTTCCAGAAGGAGAAGGATGATGTGCCAGAGAGAGGCTATGTGATTCTGCCCAATGACATCTTTGAAATTGTTGAAGTACCAGCATAATAAATAAAATGTGTAATTAAAATGTGGGCAAGACCACATATCCTTTTTTAGCCTGTATGGGAGTTTTCATTTGAAAAATAACACTTGATTACTTGCATAAAAACAATTCAGAATATTTTTTTAGAAAAATAAATTAGCTATATACTGTAAAATTGTAATTTCTTTTGTTTGTAATTTCAGAGTTTTTACATTTTAACAAAATATTTTAAAAGTTGTTGAAATAAGACTTCCATTGTAAGTTGGTTTCAAGGTTGGAGATTTTTGTTTGTGTATTTATAGAAATAATGTAAAAATAAAAGTAGAATGAGAACAGTGAAGTAGAAATTATTTGTCATAAAATTAATGCTCTTTATTGAGAAAACTTAGTTATATTTTAAATCAGAAGTATGGGTCACATGAAAGGACATAACCTTTCAATATGTATATGTACACACATTTATATTTGCAGTGTTATCTTTCTGAGGATCATTTGTCAAAGATAGATTGATAAGTCAGTATTTGAAACAAAAAGATTTGGCTATATTCAGAAAAGAAAATGAAGATTCATTTCATATCTAGTCATACATAACTGTATAAAAGTGAGTTTTCAAAACATGAGCCCCTACATTTAAAAATCAGATATATACCTCCAGTGAAAGAAATATTTTTCAATTAAACAAAATAAGCATTACCATCATTGAAATAAAAATTAGGACCTGAACCATGGAAAGCTTTTCTCTCTCATTGCCCCCAAGCTAAAGTGGTTGCTAAATTTGTGGTTATATCTGCATTCATATTGCTAATAAATGTATTGTGAATGGAGTTTTATTAGTATCATAAGCTGATAATTTTGCATTTGATTTTGGTTAAGATTTCACATCAAATTATTTTTTCACTTTTAACTCAAGTTGGAAATTGTATCTCATTTACTTAAATGACATACTCAAAAGCAGCCTAATATGTAGTGTTTTACTGAATGTTGAGACTTAAACACTACGGTTTCTGTTCAGAATGTGTGTTGTATTCTGATTTGTGAGAAATTTTACATAAATTTGAAATGAAAATATGCCTGAGTAAAATATTGCTAGAGGAGTTATCTATTTAGCTTTAGAATAACTTTCAATTATAATTATTACTTTTCTATTTTGAACTACACTGAGCTAGTTGAAGAGTATCAGTCCTTTCAAGACAGTATTCAAGATGTAAAACAATTATATCCCAGTGTCTTTTGTAGACCCGATTATATTGCAATTCACTGCCATGCTGTCAGTAAGTAAATTCACAGAAATTTAATACTTTATGAACCAGTATCTCAAAAATAGAAAATAATGATTAGATTACTTACCTAGTCTATTAACATCATTTAGAACTAACTCTAACAAATGAGAGCACTTTTACTAGTTACTCTTAAAATCAACTGGTTTTAGAAGCTTCAAAGTCTTGAAGTTGTTTTTATAGTTTATCTTTCCAGCAATCCCAGGAAAATATGTGGGTATTTTGGAAAATGTGTACATATCTTTAGCCCAAATTGCCTTCTACATAAAAACAATCTCTTTATGTGTGTATGTCCAGAACCAAGAATCCAGGCTACATTATAAATGCAATCATAATTATGTAGTATCTTACTATTTAACCTGAATCTACTTTGTTTTCATGACTATATAAATCCCCATTTGGAGAGAACAGAGCAAGTAGTATGCCTATCAACCACTTGCCCATTTAAATTGAATAAATTTACTATAGTTTACAAGGGGAACTTGAGATGCAGGTGCTGTTTTCTGAATATGAGATGTAACATTGATTGGATGTTTTATATCTTATTTTATATATTGTTGGTAACATTGCCAAGAAGGTAGCACACAAGGCTAAAATAGGTAGTGTTAGGGCCAGGGATTTAGCTCAGTGGTGCTGCCACCTGCCTTGCTAGTGCAAAGTCCTGAGTTCAGTCCCTGGTACCAAAAAATAAAAAATAAAAAAATGGGTAATTTGCAAGCATGATGAAACCTAGTCTGAAACAAATAGGGGCAGAGTCTCAATATGGAACAAATGGGAAGCGAGCCATGAATTGCTGCATATTCTGGAAGTGGAAATGAATTTTTAGCACAAATACTAAGATACTAAAGTTTATTTCTATGTGATATAATCTGCAAGTAATGGCAAAGACTGATTTTTTTTTCATGATAAAATTGCTGGTAGAACTGTAGAGTTGTAAGTTTCTAGAGGTGAAAGGGGTTTATTAATTCTTGAACACTAGTCTAACCTCTGTGTCCTATAGAATGCCCTCCTACAGCATTCTTGATAAGTGGTGATCCATTCTGTTTATTATTTCCACTTAAACAAATATTTCACTTAGGGTCTTTAAAATAGTTTTATTTTTATTGTTATTTTGGTACCAGGGATTGAACTCGGGAACTTGTGCTTGTGACGCAGACATCGGAAACACTGAGCTAAATCCCCAGCTCTTTAAAATAGTTTTATAAATTAGAATCAGTTGCCACTTTTTATACTTCTTTTAATGCAAATATAAATTTCACTTTGAACTGCTGCTTAGCTTGACTTCCAAATTGTTTTCATTTAAAAATATTTATAGTAAACATTTATGTTTACTATAAATGTTATGTATACTAACATTGTACCAAAAATACTGTTATGTGTACTAAAAGTAATTCTGTCATTGCAGTGAGAACATATTAGCAAAATTTTGTATTTGAAAATCCAAGTACATGAGACTTTTCTATAAATCGATACTTTCTTAGATGTATAAATAACAGTGAAGGCAGGTGAAATTATCAATACAATGTGGATTCTTTTTGGCTTTAATATTCCAAGATCATCTCAAATTATTAAAAAGCTACACACACATATATCCAAGATCTATGGCATTTATAAAGCCCACGGTAAGCAATATATTTAAAAATCCATTTAATATATAAGAAGAAAGCTCCATTTGTGTTCCACCACTTTAAAAAGACAGTTCACTTTATATAACATTTAAAGAGATTTGGCAGCTTTGTAATTACTTTTCCTGAAATCAAGGAACATAAAATGCTATAATTCTGCATGTTCAAATTCTAAAAGATTAAAATCCTGAACATACAATTCTGGAAAAAATAATTTTAAAAAATTTTAGGGCAAATTGTTTTCATTAAGAATTTAAAACCAGCTGGGGATTTAGCTCAGTGATTCTGCTGCCTGTCTCACAAGCACAAGGTCCTGAGTTCAATCCCCACTACCCCCACAAAAAGATTTTTGTTTTGAAACAAAAAAATTACATAACATTTACCATTTATTTTAAGTATTACTGGATTCTCAAACATTTTTAGACTTTGTCCAACATGAAAGACCATTTTAAAATGTCTCACTTTTTAATGTATTTGTTAATTGGAATATGTTTGCAGTACATATGATTACATTTGTCATGAGGAGTTTGTACATGTATATAACATCTTAATTCTTTTTGTTCTTTTCCCCTCCCATCACTCCCTGCTCCAACTCTTCACCCCGTTCCTTTTTGAAAAAGCTCTATTTTGTTCTTTGATTCTTTTTTAAAAATCGTTTTTCCCTTCCTTCACCCTCATGTTTTTCCCTTCCCATTTGAAAAAGATATACCTACTTCCTATTATCTATCCTTTATTTTTCTCTTTATTTATATTTTCAGTTTTTCAAATAAGAGAAATCATGATATTTAAACTGTGAGTGATTTATTTTCTTTAACATTATGGTCTCAAGGTGCATCCATTTACCTACAAATGCTTCAAGTTTATCCTTTAGAGCAGAGTACTAATGTTAAACTGAATCATGAGAGATTATAGAGAATCACCAACACTCTGAATCAAATTTGAGTTATTTTATTGCCAGCAGTTGAGAGCAGACTGAGCTCAAAACCTCTTGACTCCGAAAAGTGGCTTGTGGGTTTTTGCAAAGCAACTTTTCTAGTTGGGGAGGGCTCAGGGAGAGGAGGAGCACAAGCAGAACTTTGTGGGGTCAGGGGAAGTTTCACACCATTTAGATGAAACAAAGTACCACATAGGTATGGAGTACTCTGTTCACAAGTTCAGAAAGATAACATAGCTGCAGACTGCTCTACCAAATGGGAGGATAAAAAAGATAACACACAGTTGCAGACTGCTCTAGCAAATGGGATGCAGGGATCTGTCATGCATCAATGGAGTGGATTCCCAAGGTTGGGGAAGGGGGAGGTGATCACCCAGAATCACTCAACTTTACATGAAATGGAGGGGGAGTGGTAATGAGGCACAAAATGGAGTCAAGTTGGCTATCACACTATTCCATTTTGTATAAATACCCTATTGTCTATCTGTTCATCTGTTGACAATCTCACTCTTGCAATTTGTTTTAAGTAGGAACGTAATTACAATCACACTGTCTTGGAATAATAAAAAAGTAGGGCATAAAATTGTTACAATTTAAAATTTTTTATAGGCTCAATAATTGTCACCCTTTTGAAAAAGGAAAGAAAAGTAATTTGACCACGAAGGACTTGAACAAACTGGGGTGATTCATAACTAATTTATGCTGATTTATTTGCTGTTCATATATATTTAAACAATCTTTGAAAATCATGTTCATCTGTCCTCCACTTAAAATATTTGGCAGGGGGTCTGAGTTTGAACAATACTGTTTCTTAGGTCCACCTCATATATCTGGAGTTTTCAATGGTGAGCACAAACACAAATCTTTTCTCAGCAAGAAAAAGTCTGTGTGGTGTTCAGTCTAGTGAAATTGGGCATCCTGGGTTCCCAGCTGAGAGGACCTCGCCCCTCTGGCTGGACCCATCAAATGCTGTCCTCTGTGAGTTGATGCCAGGACTGGATAATAAAATAACCTGCAAGACATGTAAGAGAATTTTTCACAATCAATTTCAACATCACAGTGACCACACTTGTGGTCTTTAGGTATCTGCAACGTGTAGACTTATGAGTGTTATCACCACAACCCACCAGAATCAACAATAAGGTTATGTTGACAATGTAGAATTTTCTCTTACTAAATGTACAGCTGAATGATTAGAACTCTACATAAGTTCTCATGAAGGGTAGTTTTCTGAGCTCCCAATTTTGAACATCTTTAAAGAAAGGGCAGGGGAAACCTGTAATAGAACTGAGTGGAGTTCAA